TCGACTCCCACAAAGGGTGGCCAGACTGTGGCTTAGGCCCACTCCCCAAGGGAGCAGGGAGCAGGTAGTAGGACATCCCCTAGGGCTCCCAGTATGTGATAGGGGGCAAGCTGGGCTGAGGGAACGCCCTCCCCAGTGCACAAATTTTTGTGCACCGGGCCCCTAGTTCTGTATAATGCAAAATCCCCTGTGTACACAGCCTCTTCTCTCCATGTTTCTATTCATCATTCTGATCTCTTAAATTTGAAGTTCATAGGACTGTCCTTGGATTTCTTCTCTATGTTTAGTCCCTGGTGAACTCATATGATTTCATGGGTTTAAATACTATCTATAAATTGAGTACTTCAAAATTTAGATCTTTTACTGGGTTCCCTACCCCGAGGGAGTTCATATATGCAATAATCTACTTTTTTAAAAAAGAGTCTACTTAATATCTTTATTTAGACACATAAAGAACTTAAACTTAACAGGTCAATCCCTTACATCACCACTTAATCTCACCATCACTGTCAGAAATCTTCTCAGTAAATCTTTCTCTTAGTTACTCAGGTTAAAAGCCTTGGAGTATTTAACCATATTCAGTCTAATAGCAAATTCTGTTCTATTTTCAAAACATGACAAAATTCCAGCCATACTCTCCATAACGCCATTGTTGTCCAAGCCATAATTCCCCTGCCTGTTTTTGGAAGAACACTAATAATTGCATTTCTTCCTTTCCTCCCAATCAATTCAAGTTCATTTTACAGCCATCACAATGGTCATGCCACTTCTCTACTCAAAAATCCTCTAGTAATTTCCTATCTCACTCAGAGTAAAGCCAAAGGCTCTAATTGTTTACAAGGCCATTCAGGACTACTCTTCTCAAACCTTGTAATCCTACTTTCTAAATTTATCGCATGTCTGCCTTTGTTGTTAACCTCCCCAATCCAGCCCCACTGGCCTCTTTGCTCACTACATATACTCCCACCAAGGGGCATTTGTACTTGCTGTTCCTTTTCTCTGCCATATCTTTTCATATAAGATATTCCAGTTTTTTTAACTGCCTCCCTTTCTTCAGTTCTTTACTCAAATATCACTTTATTGAGGAGCCCTTCCATGTTTCTCCTGTTTTCTCCTTCCTACCAACATCCTTAAGACCATATTTGTTTATTGTGTTTTCTGCCAAATTATAAATTACATGAGAGCAGGAAATTTGTTAGTTTATTACTGTATCTTAGGTGCCTAGACACAAGAGGTTCTTAATGCATAATAGAGGAAATAACAAACAAATTAATTAATAAATATAAAAAGCAAAGGTTTAATTTTTTTAAAGTATTGATCTAATCATACATCATTTTTTAAATGATACATCCAACAGAAGAATATGTGGGGAAAAGATTGAAGGGAGCATCACCTCTGTGGAAGCTGGTAAAATATTCATAAAAGAGATAAAAAAGATGTAGGGTAGAACGGTGGTAGTAAGAATGAAAATAATAGATACGAGAAACTTTACAAAGTTCACATTGACAAAAAAATAGTGAAATGAGAAAAGAAGTATGAATCAAGTAAAATGGCAAACACAGGACACCTAGAGAGGGAAAAAACAGCAATAGAAAATCCAGAAGGACACATTTAATCATCTATATAATAAAAGCCTAAGCGACCTTTATGGTGGAACAACCAGAACGACTGGTTGCTATGATCGTACTGGTTTATGGTGGAACAACCAGAACGACTGGTTGCTATGATTGCACTGGCCACCAGGGGACAGACGCTGAATGCAGGAGCTGCCCCCTGATGGTCAGTGTGCTCCCACAGAGGGAGCACTGCTCAGCAAGAAGCCAGGCTCAAGGCTGGCGAGTGCAGCGGCAGTGGTGGGAGCCTCTCCCGCCTCCATGGCAGCACTAAGGAGCAGCAAGCTGAACATTAAGGAGCAGTGAACAGACAGGCAGTAAGGAGCAAGAGGTTCTGGACTGCGAGTGGGCACAGGCCAAGCTGAGGGACCCCCCACCCCCTGCTCCAGTGCACGAATTTCATGCACAGGGCCTGTAGTTTATATTATAAAAATTATAATTATGAAAACAAAATTAAGTGCTTATATGAGCACTTAAATGCTATAAGACAACTCTTGATAAATTTTTAGACTGAAATTGATAATGCCAATCTGAGAAAATTATCAGTTGCACAAATAATTGTACTATTATCAAACTGATCATTTAACTCATATTAGATGATTATTTTTTTCCTCATTCTTTTAATTCAACCCTCTTTCTCTTTCACCTACATATCTTTCTACCCTTATAGAATAATAGAAATCCTTCACTGACTGCATAAATAGGACCTTTTCTTATTTTTTAAACCAGCTATGGTTTTGACTCTGTATTTTTAAGTGATGTAAACATAGCTGGTCACAACCTTAGTATTCCTGGTTTGTTTTTAATTAGAAATTAATGAATTCCAGTAACTATAGATAATGTTTTGTTGATTTCTGCCATTCATTACAAGGGGAAAAATCAGGCATGCTTTACTTTCATGATGAATAATTTTTAATAAAATTATATCCATCAGTTTTTTCATTTTTAAAAACCCACTAAACTTGGTGGCTGGCTTGGTTTATCATAATTGAGTCTTGGTATTACTGGTATTTGTATATCATTTAAGTAACACTTCTTTGATTTTTAGGAAAGATTAGCAGAAGAAATTGAAAAGCTGAGATCTGAACTTGACCAATTGAAAATGAGAACTGGCTCTTTAATTGAACCCACAATATCAAGGTAACATTAAATTAAAAGCTTATCTGCAGTTGACTAAAAACCAATATGAATCTCCTTATGGTTATATCTCCTCAATAAAATAGACAAATACATGTATCTCCTATTGCCTAGCCATTGCCTTATTTTGACTCCTCACCAATTTAGTTTCTACATTCCAAAATAATTGTATAATTTAGAAATCCTTTCTGCAGATTTGCAATAAAAGTTGAAATCACTACCTTTCATATTCTGCATTTATTATATAGATATAAGGTGTAAAAGGAATATTAAATGAAGAAATGAACTGTATGGTAGATTACATCTCATTCCAGGAAGAAGTATCAGCTCTTTTCTCTACATGCAGAAATATTTTCAATGCTTAATGTTATTGAAGAAATATCATTGATTATGGTCATTCATATTCAAAGAGCATATAACTATTTTGGTAAAGTAATTACAAATAAAGAGGAAAAGCAAAATTATATTTGCTAAAGAATTCAAGTTAATTTAGCTTTACTTATCTACTTTGACTCAATACCTAATCTTTAAAAAAGAAGCAATGAGACAATTGTTTCTCTCTAGATAGACTTCAATAATTCACATATAAGTTTCTTTTTTGCTTAGAGACTTTTATTCAAATTCTATAAGAAACCCTAGAAGGGCTCACTCATTTAATCATTTATTTATTAAGCAATACAGTGACATCAGCTATTTGAAACTTTTGACACCACAGATTTCTAGATGTTCATGTTTCATGGTCATATGTTTATATTAAGAATATTAATGCCCTGACCGGTTTGGCTCAGTGGATAGAGCGTCGGCCTGCGGATTGAAGGATCCCAGGTTCGATTCCGGTCAAGAGCATGTACCTTGGTTGCGGGCACATCCCAAGTAGGGGTTGTGCAGGAGGCCGCTGATCGATGTTTCTCTCTCATGGATGTTTCTAACTCTCTATCCCTTTGCCTTCCTCTCTGTAAAAAAAAATCAATAAAATATATTTTTTTAAAAAAAGAATATTAGTTTCATGAGGGCTGAAGCTAATATTCTTAATATTTTCTCTCTAATTACTACAATCTCAGCACCTTAAAAAAACTGCCATATAGTGTGCTTTCAATCGATATTGTTGAATGAATGAATATCTGGTAAAGGATTTTTCAGATGTTCAGATGACAAATCCAAATTTAAAAAAATAATTCTAAAGGAGATTATATTTGTCAGTATAGGTACTAATGAAACATTCAGTATTTTGAGTATTTCTCAAACACATTTCTGTAGACATAAATACATCTAAATACATCCAATTTTTTTAAATGGGTAGGTGTTTAATTTAGAAAATCATGCTTATTTTAAAGAAAGTATTCTGACTCTGAATCGAAATTAATTCAGTTCCGTGTGTTTATATGGCGATGATGATTATGATGATGGAGAAGAAAAAAAAGAGCTGATAAATAGCAAAGGTGTAAATACAGAGAGTGAACATTATTAAATTAACAAATTAAATGTATTTTAATAGGATCCAATGGGCATTTCATTGTCTTTTTTACTTTCAGTCTTAGGAATGCAGAGTTCTAGCGGTGTTGTCCAAAAGTTCACTGCCGCAGTGAATCATCATGGGCCACCTAACAATGTGACATTTATTCACAATTACAGAACAACACAGTACAACTTTCCTCTATGCTGCAGACTGTAGTAGAAATAACACTACAGCAAGCATTCTTAGTTTCAGATATACAATTACTAGCTGTTTGATTTTGAAAAACCCATTTCCTTACAAAGGTTCTAATTTTGTATATATTTTGCATGAGTTATATATAAAATACTGTTTTTCTGACAATCTCACAAGCTTACATTGCAGATAAAATGCGAAGTAATCAAAGGGGTTTTGTGAACAGTAAATCACACCAAAATTATAAAGTATTATAAGAATTATTAACTAAGCTGATGGAATTTATAGTAAGTTACAGTATAATCAAATATTTATTAAATAGCAATTATTTGTTGGACAGCCATGCTTTTGAGTGCACGTAATTAAGAAAGGAATAATGAAGAAAACAGATGGTGCATGATAACTTCATCAACTTGTGTTTGATCTTCCAGTTGAGGAGGTAGGAAGAGATGAGCTAAAGTTAGTGATTATCTATCTACACTAATAAAAGACAAACATGCAAATTGACCATACCTTCGCTACAACTTAAGCCACGCCCATCAGCCAATCAGAGCGACTATATGCAAATTAACTCAACGGGATGGCGGCCGGCAGCCACGGAGCTAGAGCAAGCAAGAGGCTTGGTTGCTCCAGTGATGGAGGAAGCCAAGCTTCCCGCCTGCCGCGGCCGGCTCTGAGCTCTACTCAAGGCAACAAAGTTTCAATTATAGAAGATAAATAAACCCCAGATACCTGCTTTCAGCCGGCCGTGGCCACGGAGCTGGAGCGAGCAGGAGGCTTGGGTTGCCCCTGACGATGGGGGAAGCCAAGCTTTCTGCCTGCCCTGGCAGGCTCTGAGCTCCACTCAAGGCTACAAAGTTTCAATTATAGAAAGTAAATAAATCCCAGAATAAAAAAAAAAGGAGAGGCTGGAAGCTTATGTCACTGGGGGCTTGGCCAGCCTAAAGACGGCCCTCAGCCTCTCACTCAGACTGGCCAAGCACCCCAGTGGGGACCCCCACCCTAAAGGGGGTGTGGCCAGCTTGAATACAGCCATCAGCCCCTCACCCAGGCTGACCAAACCTCCATCTGGTGAAGGTCCCCACTGGGGAGGGCTTGACCAGCCTTCAAACAGCCATCAGCCCTCACCCTGGCTGGCCAGGCACCCCACTGGGAACCCCCACCCTGAAGGGGGTGTGACCAGCTGCAAACAGCCATCAGCCCCTCAATCAGGCTGGCAAGGCACCCCAGTGGGGACCCCCACCCTAAAGGGGGTGTGGCCAGCTTGAATACAGCCATCAGCCCCTCACCCAGGCTGACCAAACCTCCATCTGGTGAAGGTCCCCACTGGGGAGGGCTTGACCAGCCTTCAAACAGCCATCAGCCCTCACCCTGGCTGGCCAGGCACCCCACTGGGAACCCCCACCCTGAAGGGGGTGTGACCAGCTGCAAACAGCCATCAGCCCCTCAATCAGGCTGGCAAGGCACCCCAGTGGGGACCCCCACCCTAAAGGGGGTGTGGCCAGCTTGAATACAGCCATCAGCCCCTCACCCAGGCTGACCAAACCTCCATCTGGTGAAGGTCCCCACTGGGGAGGGCTTGACCAGCCTTCAAACAGCCATCAGCCCTCACCCTGGCTGGCCAGGCACCCCACTGGGAACCCCCACCCTGAAGGGGGTGTGACCAGCTGCAAACAGCCATCAGCCCCTCAATCAGGCTGGCAAGGCACCCCAGTGGGGACCCCCACCCTAAAGGGGGTGTGGCCAGCTTGAATACAGCCATCAGCCCCTCACCCAGGCTGACCAAACCTCCATCTGGTGAAGGTCCCCACTGGGGAGGGCTTGACCAGCCTTCAAACAGCCATCAGCCCTCACCCTGGCTGGCCAGGCACCCCACTGGGAACCCCCACCCTGAAGGGGGTGTGACCAGCTGCAAACAGCCATCAGCCCCTCAATCAGGCTGGCAAGGCACCCCAGTGGGGACCCCCACCCTAAAGGGGGTGTGGCCAGCTTGAATACAGCCATCAGCCCCTCACCCAGGCTGACCAAACCTCCATCTGGTGAAGGTCCCCACTGGGGAGGGCTTGACCAGCCTTCAAACAGCCATCAGCCCTCACCCTGGCTGGCCAGGCACCCCACTGGGAACCCCCACCCTGAAGGGGGTGTGACCAGCTGCAAACAGCCATCAGCCCCTCAATCAGGCTGGCAAGGCACCCCAGTGGGGACCCCCACCCTAAAGGGGGTGTGGCCAGCTTGAATACAGCCATCAGCCCCTCACCCAGGCTGACCAAACCTCCATCTGGTGAAGGTCCCCACTGGGGAGGGCTTGACCAGCCTTCAAACAGCCATCAGCCCTCACCCTGGCTGGCCAGGCACCCCACTGGGAACCCCCACCCTGAAGGGGGTGTGACCAGCTGCAAACAGCCATCAGCCCCTCAATCAGGCTGGCAAGGCACCCCAGTGGGGACCCCCACCCTAAAGGGGGTGTGGCCAGCTTGAATACAGCCATCAGCCCCTCACCCAGGCTGACCAAACCTCCATCTGGTGAAGGTCCCCACTGGGGAGGGCTTGACCAGCCTTCAAACAGCCATCAGCCCTCACCCTGGCTGGCCAGGCACCCCACTGGGAACCCCCACCCTGAAGGGGGTGTGACCAGCTGCAAACAGCCATCAGCCCCTCAATCAGGCTGGCAAGGCACCCCAGTGGGGACCCCCACCCTAAAGGGGGTGTGGCCAGCTTGAATACAGCCATCAGCCCCTCACCCAGGCTGACCAAACCTCCATCTGGTGAAGGTCCCCACTGGGGAGGGCTTGACCAGCCTTCAAACAGCCATCAGCCCTCACCCTGGCTGGCCAGGCACCCCACTGGGAACCCCCACCCTGAAGGGGGTGTGACCAGCTGCAAACAGCCATCAGCCCCTCAATCAGGCTGGCAAGGCACCCCAGTGGGGACCCCCACCCTAAAGGGGGTGTGGCCAGCTTGAATACAGCCATCAGCCCCTCACCCAGGCTGACCAAACCTCCATCTGGTGAAGGTCCCCACTGGGGAGGGCTTGACCAGCCTTCAAACAGCCATCAGCCCTCACCCTGGCTGGCCAGGCACCCCACTGGGAACCCCCACCCTGAAGGGGGTGTGACCAGCTGCAAACAGCCATCAGCCCCTCAATCAGGCTGGCAAGGCACCCCAGTGGGGACCCCCACCCTAAAGGGGGTGTGGCCAGCTTGAATACAGCCATCAGCCCCTCACCCAGGCTGAGCGAGAGGGCACAGGCCGGGCTGAGGGACCTCCCCCTTCCCCCCCGAGTGCACAAATTTTTGTGCACCGGGCGTCTAGTATATATATAAAAGCCTAAGCGACCTTTGCAACCGAAAGACCGGAACGACTGGAACCACTGGTCAACCAGTCGCTATGACACACACTGACCACCAGGAGATAGCCACTCAATGCAGGGGCTGCCCCCTGGTGGTCAGTGTGTTCCCACAGCCAATCTCCTACAGCCCCCCCTCCCCGGCTGGCCAGCCTCCTGTGGCCCCTCCCCCCTGCCCGGCCAGCCCTCCAATAGGTCTCAATCGCCGGCCAGGCCAAGGGACTCCACCTGTACACGAATTCGTTAACCGGGCCTCTAGTCCTGCAGGGGCTGCCCCCTGGTGGTCAGTGTGCTCCCACAGCCAATCTCCTACAGCCTCCCCCTCCCCCCGGCTGGCCAGCCTCCTGAGGCCCCTCCCCCCTGCCCAGGCAGCCCCCCAATAGGTCTCAATTGCCGGCCAGGCCAAGGGACTCCATCTGTACACGAATTCGTTAACCGGGCCTCTAGTCTGTAACTAATATCCTCTACTAGTATCTCATCTGAGAAGAAAGTAAAATAAGTAGCAGAGTGTCTGGAGACAACCTGATTTGGCTGAACTCTGAAGAAAGGGTAAGATGTGGATAATTAGGGCAATAGAGGACACTCTAGAAGCAGATGGATGAATTACTGGTTTACTCTAAGAAAATTCATATTTGATTTATATATGGACATTCTTTTGTGAGATAATGTGCAAGAGTCACAGGAGATTCTGGAGTGAAAAAAACACGAGGGTTCCTTGTCTACATGAATTGGTGACTGTAGATGCACTTTTAACTTAAACCTCCTAGTATGTCTCAAAATAATGTACAGCACATGATTAAAATTTTAAATATATAGAAATATTACCTTTGTTAGAGAACTAGCTCACAGAATGAATAAAAGGAAAGAGGTGAGCAGTAACCTTCTTAGATCAAGTGTAAGCAATGGGCTCTTCTATGATTGCTGTTGTCTCAGGCCTCAGGTTATTTCAAGGTCAATTAAACATTTTTTACTTACCAGACACTGTGGTATTACAGATACAGTGATGATGGTGGTGAAGAGGACACGTTCCAGATGGAAAATAGAGGAATAATGGTTTGAGGACCATTTTAATGGAAGGAATATGAGGAGTTAAAATAGCATATGACAATGGGACTTTTAAACTGAGACTTTAAGAATGCTAACCATGTAAATGTGTGATGAGACTGTTTTCAAAGGCTCAGAAACAAAACAAAGTGTGAGTTGTTGAGGGAATTGAAAGTCAGTACAGCTAGATGGAGAAATACAGACCGTAGTTAGGGAGGCAGCTGGTCGATGTTTCTCTCTCATCGATGTTTCTAACTCTCTATCCCTCTCCCTTCCTCTCTGTAAGGAATCAATAAAATATATTAAAAAAAAAGAATGCTAACCATGTAAATGTGTGACAAGACTGTTTTCAAAGGCTCAGAAACAAAAGAAAGTGTGAGTTGTTGAGGGAATTGAAAGTCAGTACAGCTAGATGGAGAAATACAGACAGTAGTTAGAAGTGAAGCTGGAAATTAATTGTAGAGGGCCTTTTAAGGACACTGAAAATCTTTAAGCTGGTTGTCAGTGGGACCAGATCTGTGTTTTGTTTCATGTTTTTATAAATGACCTAGAGTTGAGAGATAAAACAACAAAAAATACTCCTAGGATGATATCATAATTTTAGAAAATCCACTCTAATGCCCAAAGAGGCATTATCCTAAGTACCACAGGCAAAAGGCACATAGAATGTTCTGAGCTGGTTTGGAATGTATTATAATCAATTTCATTCATTATCTTACCAGACATTTATTAGGCATTTAATTAATCCTTGAGCATATAATGATGATGAAAATATATTTGTCTGTCAAATAGATAAATACTAAGATTTTTACCATTTACAACCATGGCCTTCTTGGTTAGTTTTTATATATGATTAATCCATAATAAAAATATAATTTGCTTAATCTCACATTCACAGCTGTAAAAAACAATCTCTGTCCTCTATTTTGGGGATGATTCCTTAATTCATTTGCTTTAACGTCCTATTTGGGAAACAAGGGCTTGCATCAGCCTGGTCAGTATCTTCTAATGTTATAAACACTCAGACTTCACCTAACCTCTTTTATCTAATCTGGCCAAATATTTGGCAATGCTCCATTCACAAAGAGACCTAGGGGCAAAAACATAGATCAGCAAGAGTCCCAAGTTCCAGAGTAAACAGAGCTTTAAGTATATTTGCTACTGATAATAAATCATTTTGTAGGACAGCATGTTGCCACTGTTATCATTATTATTATAGTAATAAACTGAGTTTGCTGTAAATCTCCATATAAATAATGTTCACGGAGAAACTTTTACTGCACTTTAATTAGAATGTACTTTATTATCATGCTTATTGAAGAACAGTGTGCCAATATTTTCCAATTGGAATGTTCCAACTGTTTCATCTGTAAGTAGATTTCAAAATCAGATGTGATCATCAAAATATTTTTCTTTATTTTTAATGAATGTCTTATTAAAAGCTAAAAAAATTATTTGGGTGGTATATCCTATTTTATTACCAATAACTTTAACCTTGGGTCAATCTGACTTTAAGCATTTTTTGTTGATTTTCTAAGTTGAAAAATAGAATGTTAAAAAAAAAGAGAATTCTGGGACCCCAAAAGTTTACTTTTTTTTCTGTTATATTAATGAGAAATGCTTAAACAAATACAGTAACAAATAGCATATATTGGGATATCCACTAAACAGCTCAAACTAAATATAGAATTGCCAGAATTTAAGCCTCAGGATCTTGGCTGGCGATCTTAACATGTTTTGTTGTCCCACCACATTTGAAAATAATAAGTAATGAACAGAAAGGCTTTTTATATTCTAAAAAGAGAAAATTCAGTCGACCTTCAGGAAGGAACCTGAGGCCAGAATTTCTGACATAAGCCTCTGGAACAGAGGTCCTCAAACTTTTTAAACAGGGGGCCAGTTCACTGTCCCTCAGACATTCCACACATGCGCACTGCGGGCCAGAGACAAGGCTGCTAAGCAGGACAGGCAGCGGCGCTGGCCGGATTAATGTTTTCGTTTTGGGCGGGCCACATGTTGCCCGCCGGCCATAGTTTGAGGACCCCTGCGGCCGGATAAATGTTTTCAGCGGGCCGCACGTGGCCCGCAGGCTGTAGTTTGAGGACCCCTGCATCTGGAGTGACCTCAGAGGGTCAGGACAATTCATCAGTTTTCTTTCTTGAAGTTTATTTCCTTGAGGCTTTATTGCCAATTAAGAAGTAGATCGTGATTTGCTGATAAGTTTAACTTTGGCGATTGACTATATTTCATATTTTTCATTTCTTCCAGGACTCATCTGGACCCCTCAGCTGAGTTGCGCTATTCCGTTGGATCCCTCGTGGACAGCCAGTCTGACTACAGAACCACTAAAGTAATAAGAAGACCACGGAGAGGCCGCATGGGCGTGAGAAGAGATGAGCCAAAGGTTAAACTTTTTATTTCAAGTCTCTGATGGTTTTAAGTAAATATGCTATTCCATTTTGGACAGAATTTTAATAAGGAGAAGATTTAAAATGCTAACATTTTTATTAGTGTGACATATGCCATGCTTTAAAAACAATAACAAACCTGAAACTCCTACTGTATGCCAGAAGTTCAACTAAGCATTCCCCATGTATTTATCCACATAATTTTATGAATTGGGTACTATTTTTTATGCTAACTTAAGGTATAAAAATATTGAAGTTCAGAAATTTTTTGTTCAATTACACAGCCAGCAAAGTAATAGAATCAAAACATGAGCTTATGTTTGCATCGTTTTAAATTCCATGCCTCTATCCATTATGCTATTTGCCAAACAAATGTATTTTTTGTTTGCTTGGGCACCTAAGCAATGGCATTCATACTGTTGATTAAAATTAATTAAATATTTTAATTGTAATTACTACTTTAAAAACACTTTGAGGAAAATGTACACAGAGTATTGAAGGTGTTTGGAGAGAATTGTCCATGATCAACTGCAGTGCCAGCCTTGCATTCACTCAATAACTTGAACTTTGTAAGCTATGCGTGTTCAGTAAGTATGTAGTTGCATTTGATAGAGAAAATAATTCCTTTGTGCCCTAAGTATACTTGTTCTCCCCAACCACTTGTATGTGTCCAAAATACTATATAACCTACTTGTCTTTATTTGTACAAACCCTTTCTTTTCTTTTCTAACACTTGATTTTTTAATTGGTACCTATGTGTCATGTACAAATTCATCCCTCATAAAAGGCAATCAGTATCTGTTGAATGGATAGATAAATAAACAAATGAAGAATAAATTAAGTTCATCTTAGTTCTTCTCTCATTTTAATGAAAAAATAAATTAATACTACTCAGTATCAAAACAATTTGTGAAATAAAAGCTAATTCAGGTTTTCAAATCTTAAATAAATGCTCAAGGCAATATCATTATATCATCACAAAGATTGAAAAAAAATTAAAACAGCAGAAAACTCTAGAACCTCAGTTTTACTCCCAAACCTCTCAAACTTTGAGATTACAGCTTCGAAAACACTGGTCTCTTGGTTACTCAGGACTCTCATTCACATGAGGTTTTATTATATCAGTTAAAACATTGGTATGCCTTGGGCTTAAAAAAATCAATCAGGCATTTGAGTAGAGCAGAGCAGTGGAAATGAAATGAAATTACTTTGCAATATTTTTAATAATATTTATTTCAATTTATGTAAATGATGTTGGGGAGAGAATTCATGTATAATTTTCTGTGTAATAATATTAGTATTCTGAGTCTGTAATACAAAAGTGTAGATAAGATGAATTAGTACAAGAAATGGGAATGCTTGAGTACAAGTCAGTAGAAAGGGTTAATTTGTAAAAAAGGAGAAATGTTACAAACACAAATGCTTTAAAGTAATTCTTACCTCAGTTTGGGGTTGAGCTAGATATCATGGGGAAGTTTTATATTTATTATTTTTATTTCTATTAAAATGTTGATACTTATGTGGACACTACTTCCCATAACATAAAATGCCAACGAGTTATTTTATTGAACCAATACATTGGAATGTTAATAATCAGTTCAGCTTTTGCCAAGTAATATATAAAAGCATGTGTGCTTTTGCATTGTTTTTCAGAATATTGCTTTGAAAGTGAATAATGTTATCAATACTATAATTGTTCACCATTCAGGTGAAATCTCTTGGAGATCATGAGTGGAATAGAACTCAGCAAATCGGAGTGCTAAGCAGCCACCCTTTTGAAAGTGACACAGAAATATCTGATATTGACGATGATGACAGAGAAACAATTTTTAGCTCAATGGATCTTCTCTCTCCAAGTGGTCATTCTGATGCCCAGACTCTAGCTATGATGCTTCAGGAACAATTGGATGCTATCAACAAAGAAATCAGGTGAGTTCAGTTATTCTGGTGATGATAACTAGAAGACCTGGACATTAAAAATATGATCATCATATCAAAAGCATCGGCATCAACTGGGAGGGTATTGGAACTGCAGAATGTCATACCTCACTCCACATCTACTGATTCAGAATGGCATTTTCACACCATCCCTTGGATGTCTGTATATATCCTATATAAAATTAGGGCAGCTTTTGTAAGGAACATACATGAAACATACAGACATGATATGAGGGGGATATGAAAGAATGAGGTAAAGATGAAATCTTCTCCAATGATTTTAAAGCACTTTTTAAATTTAAATTTACTATTTAAATGGTATTGGTGGTGATAAGATACGTTATCAAGGTACAGCTAACACTGCTGTAAAGCTACTAAATAGCGTGCAAATTCATGTGCAGCCAGCTCCTTAAAAGTATTTAGACATTGGTGTGAAATTAACCATGACTGAATTATTTCAAAATAGATATTTAAAAAGGTATCTAGGTAATGGATGATTTTAAAAGAGTAGAATAGAAATTGTACAACTTAACATTCAAATATTGAAAATATCACTATGATCATTTAAATTTTAAGTTATGTATTTTCTTGAATTCCGATGACATCCATCGTCTGTTTCTATTATTCCTTTGATTACTCCCAGTGAAGAACCTTATTGTGTCCGGTGGATTTGTTTTCCTTCAAACTAGGAAACTATTCTTTATTTGTTTTTTTTCAACGGATGAGCAATTTTTACTATTTTGAACAATGCCTTTATTTGTTCTTTCTGACTCTAGCTTTAATCTGTTGACCTCCTACTTTGATTCAAATTTACCTCGTTCGCCACTATCATCACCATATTGTACATTATAGTAGTTTCTCATCTGGATGACAATAATAGTTTTACCTGGTGTCTTTGTAGTATTTGGAGTTCCAAGCTAGTTCAAACTGACACTGCAGCCAGAGCAGACTTTTTAAAACCCAAATGTGCTTATGTACTTTCCTTGTGAATTAAGCCCTTCAGTTTTTCTTAAGATAAAGATCAGAATTATTTGATGGTCTGCAATGCCCCATCTACTTCAGCATTCTCTTGCCTTCACCTGTTCTAGTCCACGTTCCATTATACCAGTACATGACTTCCTGTTCTTTGAATGTTCCATCTATTCCCTTTGTTGTGACTGTTCTTTTCTTCTGGAATATTCTCCTCAATCCACACTGTTCTTCCCTAACTCTTTACCCACTTTATACTACTCACCATGAACATCTCGCCATCACTTCTGTCCTTCAGTTCACTTTTCGGTCCTTTAGGTTTTTTTTTTCCCCACTAGATCATACGTTATATAAGAGCTAGGAGGTATATCTGGTTTTGCTCCTGTTTTATTTCCAAAACTTAGCACTTTGCTTGATAAATAGAAAGTGCTTCATAAATATTTGTTTATTATAAATAGAAAAATATATAAAACATGAATTCCAAATAAATAACACTTCCTGATGCTGTGCAGCTAATGGTTGAATTCACTATTAAATAGATTAAAAATCAAGTATGCACCCTTGTGATATTTGTTTTCACACACACACACACACACACACACACACAAAAAAAAAAAAAAAAAAAAAAAACATACACATGCTCCCAATAACATGTGATGTCCCTCCAGGGACTCAGCTTTCTTGCATTAGGGTAGAAATTCCCAGTAACAATCGTGGCCTAGACTAATTAAGTTGATACCCAAATAGTAAATTCAAACTATTGTCTTTTAATATGTTCATCACTGCCCCCCTTAATGTAGAGTAAAATAGTTGCTGATTGTAAGACATTAAGAAATACATAAAATTTGAGTACATTGCAACATTTAAAAGAAATAGGCACCTTAATATAAACTGTGGTATTATGCTAACAATAATTGGAATTTATCTCTGGTTGGAATTTTTCTTATTTCACAAATTAATTATTTCACAAAATATTTTTATTTTAAATCCTCTTCTCTGGCTTCTTACTGTTCACTGATTCTCTTTTTCTTAATTTATTTTTTAAATATATATTTTTTTATTGATTTCAGAGAGGAAGGGAGAAGAGAGAGATAGAAACATCAATGATGAGAGAGAATCATTGATGGGCTGCCTCCTGCATTCCCCCTACTGGGGATCAAGCCTGTGAACTGGGCATGTGCCCTTACTAGAAATCAAACTCCTGGCTTATAGGTCAATGCTCAACCACTGAGGCTCATTCACTGGACTCACTGATTCTCTTAATGAGAGAGATCAAATTACTTTAAACTCATTTATCACTGGAATAGTCATTAGTCTGTTCATCTATAGTTAGCTACTATTGGTCCAATTTACTTTTGTCATTTTATTTATTCATTCAGCTTGTCTATGATTCCTATGAGAATCCCTTCCCAACACACTAGGACATTTTAAAGGGAATCTATTTTGTTATTTCATTTGCTTTCCATGTTTACATCAAGATTAGAAAGATCAACGAATTGACATTTATTTTTTTCCAAATAAATTGAACAACAAGGCAACATTCGATTTTCTGTTTGACTAAACTTTGATTTGCCTCTTACTCAACTTAATTCTCTAGGTTTGACTCTCCTTTACAATTAATAGAATACTAAGGTTAATAACAAGTTCTTTGTATAACAGAACCACATCACCAGATTTTTCTGAAGTCATTATCCACCAATCATTTTAAATGTACAAAAAAATTGATTTTTTAAGAGGGGTGAGTTTTTCCATTGTCTTGTGTTTAACGCATTAATGATGCTATACTCTGATACTTGATAAAGCCTTTATTTTATATTCTGATCTTTGACTCAAGTTAAAGTGCACCCATGAAAATAAACTTCAAAGTAACAGAAGTTAATTCTTTATGTAAGTAAAAATTATAACTAAGATAAAATTTTCTTTTTAATATTTTTATTGACTGTATTTGTTTAGAGCAGTTTAGGATTCACAGCAAATTTAACTGAGGGGAAGCACAGAGATTTTCCCATATTTCCCCTGACTCCATACCTGCATATTCTTCCCCATAATCAACATCCTCCCTCACAGTAGTACGTTTATTACAACTAATGAACCTAAATTGACACATCATATTCACCCAAAGTCCGTAGTTTATGTTATCGTTTATTCTTGCTGTTGTGCATTCTATGTGTTTGGAAGAATGTAGAATGACATCTACCTATCAATATGGTATCAAAGAATATTTTCGCTGCCTTAAAATCTGCTGTGTTCTGCCTATTCATCCTTCTCCCCATCCCAAAACCTGGCAACCACTGCTCTTTTTACTGCCTCCATAGTTTTGCCTTTTCCAGAGTGCCATATAGTTGTAATCATATAATATGTAGCCTTTTCAGATTGGCTTCTTTCATTTAGTCATATGCATTTCATGTTCTCCTATGTCTTTTCATGCCTTGACAGCTCATTTCTTTTTAGTGCTAATATTCCAGTTTATTTATCCATTTACCTATTGAAGGACATCTTGGTTGCTTCAAAGTTTTGGCAACCCTATATAATAAAGAGGTAACATGCAAATTAACCCTTGTGCCCTCACAAGATGGCTGCCTACAACCAGGCCGGCAGGGCGGGTAGTGAGGGACGACCAACCGACTGAACAGCAGGCTGAGTGGGGCGATCAGGCCAGCGAGGGGGCCATGAGGGGTAACCAGGCTGGTGGGGTGGGGGACAGTAAGAGGCGTCCAGGCCAG